TTTCTTTCTTTCTTTCTTTCTTTCTTTCTTTCTTTCTTTCTTTCTTTTTTTTTTTTGTCAAAGTGACCCAAGCAAGAATCATCTAAGAAGAGGGAACCTCAGTTAAGAAAATGCCCCCACTACACTGTCCTATTGGCAGCCTGTGGGCATTTTCTTGATTGAGGATTGACATGGGAGGGCCCAGGCCACTGTGAGTACTGTGGTCTCTGGGCAGGTAGTCTGGGCCCAAGAAGAAAGCAGACTGAGAGAGCAGAGGGTGGAGGCAGCCAGTAAATACGGTTCATCCTCAGCCTCTGCTCCTCTGCTTCAGTTCCTGCCTCTAGGTTCCTGCTTTGAGTTCTTACCATGATTCATCATGATGGACTATAACTGTGCACTTGCTATAACTGTGCGCTCGCTATAACTGTGCGCTCTCTGTAACTGTGTGCTTGCTATAACTGTGCGCTCTCTGTAACTGTGTGCTTGCTATAACTGTGTGCTTGCTATAACCATGTTCGCTATAACTCTGTGCTCTCTATAACTGTGCTTGCTATAACTGTATGCTCGCTATAACTGTGTGCTTACCATAACTGTGTGTTTGCTATAACTGTGTTCACTATAATTGCGCTTGCTATAACTGTACACTTCCTATAACTGTGTTCACTATAGCTCCGTGTTCTCTATAACTGTGCACTCGCTATAACTGTGTGCTCTCAATAACTGTGTGCTTGCTATAACTGTGCTTGCTACAACTGTATGCTCAGTATAACCGTGCGCTAACTATAACTGTACTCTCGCTATAACTGTACGCTTGCTATAATTGTGTGCTCACTATAACTGTGCTTGCTGTAACTGTGCACTCTATGTAACTGTACGCTCACTATAACTGTATTCTCGCTATATCTGTGTACTTGTTATAACTGTATGTTTGCTATACCTGTGGGCTCGCTGTAACTGTGTGCTCACTGTAACTGCATGATAGTTGTAACTGTTTACTCACTATAACTGTGCACTAACTCACTATAGCTGTATGTTTTTTCCTCCCAGGTGGCTTTCACCAATAGTATTTATCACAGTGCAAAACTTAGCTAGGGCAATGCATGTATGAAATTCTTTGAATGGTAACTTTAAAAGGGGGGAAAGGAAGTTAAAAATAAGTGAGAACTTAAATAAAATACACTTCAATCACACACACAAACACATACAAATGCTCTAATATTAAACAAAAATGTGGCTGGTAAGCCATTATTGAAAGGACAACAATGGTTTCACATAGATTTTGGAGTTTCAATAAAAAAAGTTATGTGATATTGTATACTTTTATTTAGAAACCTGAAAGGCCTACACAACCAATGCTCCTTCTCTCAGAGATGGAAAATCTCAGAACCTTAAAACTGAGATGTATTTCCAGGGCAGACGGGAATGCTGGGGTCAGGTCCCACTACTTAACTTTTCTTTGCTGACTCCCGGCCTTTTCTTTATTTACAGTAAACCTATGTTACCTACCCCTTCTCCCTAGTTTGTATTTTTCTAACAACAACAACAACAACAACAACAACATAAACAATAATTATTCTTATTCTTTGCTCGTTTCCTACATCTGGCTATGGAATCCAAGTGCCCAAATCAGAAAACTAGTTGGTGTTGTGGTGCCATCTAGTGGTAATTTTGGTTATAGGCATGCCTGCTTTGCCACAGCAATCCACCTAAATCTTGCCCAGAGGAGAACTTGGTCCCTTTAGGATCAATATTCTTGCTCTTTGGCTTCTTCTTCTCCTTCTCCTTCTCCTTCTCCTTCTCCTTCTCCTTCTCCTTCT